ACAGTAAGAAATTTATAAGACCTCAATTTAAAAAGTGTAAAACTTTACTGATTCGGAAAAGAGAATTTGGAAAAACGAGGAGACATGTTTTATCCCAAAGAGGAAAGATTAAATGTTTTAAAATTGTTGGTCTTTGGCCGGGGATTTAGCTCAGTGGTTTCGCCACCTGCTGCGCAAGCGCAAAGACCCGAGTTCGATCCCCGGTACCAAAAAAAACCCACAAAAAAACCCGTTAAAATTGTCAGTCTTTATTTTTCACAACAATAGAAATGCATTAAAAAAAAAAAACAAAGATTGGCTTTCTCTCCTCCTATGTCGTCAGCCAACCCCAGATACCATTTGCCATGGTAGAAATATTGGAAGGCTTGGAAACAGCCAGGAACCTCAGAGAAGCTTAATAAACACGGGCAAGTGTTAAAGTGGCAAGTATTTTATATGGTAATCGTTAAGACTGGTGAGTGTGTGCAGATATGAGTGCTCACACATTATCAGAGGGGTATGGAGTACTTTGATTTCTATAAGATGAAACTTGACATCATGTATTGGGAGCCTTAGTAAAGTTCATCCTCTAAATTTGAGTCATGTGTAGGAAAATGGCTGCACTTGGAGACCATCATGTTAGGAGAAAGAAATCAGACACACGCGCTTAAAGATCACAAGATTTCTCTTATACGAGAAACACAAAATAGAAACAAAGAGCGGAATAAAAGACAGATAATAGGAAACACCGAGGCAGGCCTTTTTTGAGAGATGGAGGGGAAGGGCCGTGTCCTGTCAGGTACTGTGGCGAGCAGGTACCGTGGCTAAAGAGGACTCGGACTCGGATGGCAATTCACACACTTATCTTATATTATCCTAATTCATTTCAATACAATTACCACACAATATTAAGTCTGCCGATGACCACGTCCCCGTACCTGTACTGCGCAAGTCCTTAATGGGAGCGCGACGTTTCCTCCCGCAGGGTCAGAGGGTCCGATCCGATCCGTAGACGAAGGGCGTCGAGTCGGCGCTAGGCTGTCCACCTCTCCGCTTGCCTCGTCCTCTGGTCTCGTCTGGTCGGCGGCGATGCTCCTCCCAGCGGGATCAGGTGCAGATGTCTCGGTCGGTAGTCAGATCATCAGATTGACTGGTCGACTGGTCAGTGGGACGGATCGTCAACTTGCTTGGGGTCTTCAGCTCCTTTTATACTATTCTAACTGGGCGTTTGTGGTATTGGTTCAGACTTATCACACTGTCCATTTTGGGCCACGCCCTGTCCAGTTCGGGGTACATCCTCATCAATTCCATACCGCTTAAGGCTCTACTTCTATATCTTATGGTTACTATGGTTACATATCACTCACAGCCCTCTTAAAGTCACAGCACACTTTAGGGTTACAGCACACTTAGGGTTATACAATTCCATCTTATTTTAAGGTGTTCTCCACAGGTACCAACTCCCACCATTGATGTGATGGGTACGGGCTGCCAACATGGACTAACACAAAGAAGAGCTAAAATACAGTTCATCCTCTTCGATGTGGTGCTCCACTTCCAGTACCACAACCTGTCCACAAGAGATGAGATGTGCTCAGAAGAGTTTACAGAACGATACTCAGTGCAGCACTACTTATAAGTTGACTACTGAGTAAAATTTCCCACATTCATTCTGCTTCAGATGATCAGCACTGTGGTTTGAAAATGTTCCCCAGAAGTTCATGTACCGGAAACTTAATTCCCAGACTCCTATCAAGCGGCACTGGGAGGGCTCTCGGGTGCAATTCAGGTGAGGAGAGGCCAGGAAGATAGTGCCCCGTGATGGCAGAGACTGTGACATCCCGCTGCCCGGAAGTCCCCGCTCCAGATGCTGGGCAGATGCTCCGGACTTCTGCTCCAGAACTGCGAGCCCAGTAGGCTTCTGCTCCTTATAAATTGCTCTGCTTCAGTATTTTGCTAAAGCAACAGAAAATGGACCCTGACGTGGTCTAAGCCGACACAGCCATTTCCCTGGGTGAGGACGGACTTGGAAGGGGACGTGGGTCGGCTGCGAGCAGGACTGAGACCCAGGGGCCGCTGGGTGGCGCTAGAGAACGTCCTTTGCCCCTACAACTTTCAGAGACAGGAAGGGACAGCAGCTCATCTTTCCCAGACGTGGCCGTGCCCGACTGCCTTGTCTGAGGCCGGGGGACTGTGCAGAGAGGGCCAGAGGGTTAGCCCGAGCCACCGAAGCTGGTGACAATGGACAGGTGCAGGCCCCTCTGGCCTCGGCCCTCTGCCTGGACCTCGCTCTGCACGGCCTTCTCCAAGCGCCTGCTCCCAGGTCACCGACATGGAGACCGAGCCAGGCCTCCCTCTGCCTGGCTTCTCCTACACCCTCACTGCCACTCTCGGTCCCTCTTGCCGTTTCTATCATTCTCCACAGACTTTGTCGCCTAATGAATGTACTTTATAGTTCACGGGCTATGTGTATTGTTTAATGAACTAAAATTTAAGCTCTCCAAGACACCGGATGTTTATCTCTTTTGTTCATCAGTAAGTCGACCCCAGAGTTGAGCTCAGTAAATACTTGATCGATGAGCGGATCAATGGATGCAGCAGCAGGGATGGACTTCAACTCAAACTTGCAGCTCTTCACTTCCTGCTTTACAATTGTCCCATTGTGTACTGTGCTGCTTTCAAGCAGAAGAAAGGTCACCAGGGGACAGGAAGTGGACTTGCCCTGGTGGCTCTGGAAAACAAAGCCAGGGCCCCAAATCAGAAGGAGTCTCGGAGGGTAGGGAGGAGCCCCTATGCCAGGCGGAGACCCGAACCCCTTGGAGTGCAGCTTCCTGCCCAGTACCCCACTGGTCTTACCTTTCCCTCAGGGCCAACTCTGGCCCCTTCTGCCCTACGACACCTAGGTCCAAACCTCTGCTGGATTCTTCCCTCACCCACCCACAAGGTGGTGGAAGGCTAGACGGCCCACTAGGAACGTTAACTGACAAGGAAACCTGAGCTAAGAATTCTGACTTCAGCTCTTAGGTGCTATTCGACCTTTGGAAATTTCCTTGTCTTCTCTGGATTGCGTCTATGAGCCTCACTCATAAAATACACAGATTGCATCAGATGATTTCTAAAATTCTTGCCAATTCTAAGAGCCTTGGTTCTCCCCTGCCAAAGACATCAAGGGTGTTGTATTATTAGAAAACGTACCACAGAAGGCAAGATGTTAGCCCTTCCAAACTTCGTCCTAATTTGTTTCAATTCAATTGTTTTTGTTTGGGAGTGGTTGCTGTACATACCTGAGAAATGTTATTTGCAGCTACTTTTATTTCAGTGATTAACTACTCAAGCATTTACACTTAAAAAAATCAAGTTTATCTTAAGTTTTTATCCATAGAGCTTTAGGTTTAACATAAACATAAAAGATTTTACACATATTAAACTACATTTATAATTTTTTTTTGGTACCGGGGATCAAACTTGGGTCCTTGCACTTGCGAGGCAGGCGACGGAACCACTGGGCTAAATCCCCATGCCAACATTTACAAATTTAGTATACCTGATTTTCTCAGATACTAAATGCCTAGCAGGGCAAATTTTAAAATCTAGTAAAATGAATCTTTTAAAGTACCCAGCACTTTAAATCTAAGAAACCAAGGTTATAAATGCGGTAACTAGGTTTTATTAAACCTTTCAAGACTTGATTCAATGTTGTTATTCATTTAAAATTAATATCACCAGTCTAATATATTTTTTTTAATGTGTCGTACATCCAAAATTGACTAAAACATGTCATCAGAGTTGTTCCAAAATTTATTCCTAAACTGGGTTTGAGAATTGCAATCTACAAAGCCTCATTTGCTCATCTGTGGAAATGGCACTCAGGACCCGGAATTAATCCATAATCTCACCGGAACAAAAACCTGTAACGGTGCGTGAGCCTAGGATCGGACAACAGCTCAGCGGGACAAGGTGGTGATGTGAGGAGTGGGAAGATGCCGTGGAAATCCCATAGAAGTGACAGGGAAGGCGTCCAAGCCCTGAGTGGGGGACTTTGGGTACTATAGGACTTGGAGACAGGATATGGGAGAGCCCTGTGTGCTGACAAGCACTTATACTTTATTACGTATTACCTTTAAACATAGATAATGATACCCAGCTCACGTATCTTGCAGTGTAATGGGAATAATTCCGTGAATGTGTGGTTTAAAAGACCTGCATAGCTAGGCGTGGAGCCGCACACCCGTGAACCCAGCCTCCTGGGATCCGAGACAAGTTTGAGTCTAGCCTGGATAATATAATGATTTAGCAAGACCTTGTCTCAATTAAAAAAAAAAAAGGCGGGGGAATGCAGCTCAGGGCAAAAGCCCTGGGTTCAATCCTCAGTAGGAAAAAGAAAAAGAAAAGCCAGGCCGACGACAACGCAGGGCCAGCGCTTTGGGGTTCGCCCAGGTGACAGCGGCTGCGGCCTGGGGCCCCTCGCTCTTCTCCAGGCCTGGCTGAGTGGCCCGGCCGGGCAGGGCCGCTCGGGGCGGGCAGCAGCCGGACCCACGGGGGCTCCGGCTGGTGGACGCGGTGGGAGATTCTTGAGGTTTCTGTTTTTCAGCCGGAGGCCCTGCCTCTGCATTTCCCATCTCGGCCGCCCGGCTCGGCTCGGGCCCGCGCGGACTCGCCCCTCGGGAACCGGCGCCGGGCGGCCGGTGGCAGGCGGGGCGTAGACGCACTCGCGCCCGACGTGGCCGCCCCCGGGGAGAGGACGCCGGGTCCCCCGAGGCCAGGAGTGGACAGCGGGGTGCGCCCATCCCGCGGTGCGCTGGCTGCCCCCAGCCTGTGTCCTCCTCCGAGCGCGGGGTGGGCACGGGCCCCTCCCAGGACCCAGGACCCGGGGCCCCGCCAGGGTGCTTAGCCCTGTGCCGTCGCGGGCGTCCGTGACGCACGCGGCCCTGGGCCCCGACAGCGACCCCTGCAAGCCACGCCTCCTACGGCCGGGCCCCACCCCGCCGGGGTCCCGGAGGGGCGGCCCCCGATGGGCGGGGCCTGGAGCCCCGCCCCTGGCCGGACTCGGGGTCCAAGAGGGACCCGCGAGGACCTGCGCTGCCTCCCCACCGCCGCTCCGCGCCAGGACCCGCCATGCGCCCCCCACAGCCCGCGGCCCTGCGCCCCCTGCTGCTGCTGCTGCTGTTGCTGCTGCTGCTGCACACGCCCTCGCCGTCGGATGCCGCCGAGGACCCCCGGCCGAAGGCGAAGGCGCAGATCCGGCAGCGGGAGGTGGTGGACCTGGTGAGTGCGCCGGACCGCGGGGCCCCCGGGCGCGCGGAGGGGCTGGGGTGCGCCGCCGTCCCCGCCTGTCCTGGGGCGGCCAGCGGGGACCAGAGCCCGCTCGGGCCGCGGCCGGGACTCGGGGCTGAGGCTGCGGGCGCGGCGCTCGGTGTCCCCGGCCCCTGCGGGACGCGGCACCGCGGTTACCCCTCTGTCCCGCCACTCGCAGCCGAGCTCGCCCGCAGAAGCCCGCCCTTCGCGCGCTCACTGGGTGACGGGTGCGCAGCGGGGCTGCTCAGAGCGGACTGCGGGACTCGGCTCCATTCGGGCCCGAGGGGCCCTGGGTGTGCGGGCTCCGCACACGAAACCCCTCTCCCCGCGGGCCTTCTCTTCTCCCTCCCGGGACTTCTTCTCCCGCGCCCGTGGTTCCCACAGCTCTCGCCCAGCCTGGAAGAGCGCCGTGCGCCCGGCCCCGTCACCCCGGGCTGGATGTGGCCTGGGGACAGAAAACGGCCACGTGGCCGCTAAGAGGGTCCAGGCGGCCGGGAAGCGGCCCCTGAGGGCTCGCAAAGCCTCCTTCGCGGTCCCGCGGGTGCCCCCTGCTGGACAACGAGGGGACTGCGCCCCGTGCCCGGGATGCGAACCGGGCCGCGGGCTCCGGACGCGAGCGGAGACAGCGCGCGCCTGGGAGCCGAGCCCCGGGGGTGACGTCTGCGCCCCCGGACAGTCCTGCTGATGCGGACACCGCCAGGCGGCGGGCGGGCAGATCCCCGCCCCACCCCGTGTGACAACCCAGAATGTTCGAGGCACTACCAAGTGTCCCCTGGGGGACACAAACAGTTGAGACCATTGATAACAGAAAAGTAAAACCCTTTGTGTAGCACATTGCCCTGAGGGGAATCATCGTGAAAAAAATACCCAAAGTTTCTTCCTTCCCACTGTGAATATATGCCCAGGCACAGAAAATATCTGCCGGCGAAAGTGAATAAAATGACTAAAATGAAAATTAAGCCTAAACTATATCAAACTTAGAGTATTTTGTACTTTGGCATGTCTTCAGGTACTTTTGCAATCTTTAAATACTTTTGATATTGTTTCTCTCATAGCAGATAAGCAACTGTGCCCCTTTTCCTTAGAGTAATTTTCCCACATAGCTATGTCCAAGTCGTGGAGAGCTCAGGAGTCCTGATCGCGATCCAGCTGGCGGTGTGAGAAGCAGCTGTATCAGCTGTTAGACCCTCCCTACACAGTGGGATCACTGCTTGCATAATCTGACCGCGTCCACGCCCAGGCAGTGAAGTTAGGAGATACGCTCTTAAGTTACCTTCATATACAAGGAAACCTGGCTGCTTATTCTCGATGGATTGTATGACAGGATTAGAGAGTTGACACAATTAGGTGATGTTAGCTACATGTGGTGTCACATGCATAATCCCAGTACTCAGAGGCTGAGCCAGGAGGATCTCCACAAGTTCCTGGGCTACATAGTGAGTTCAAGGCTCGGTTGAACTACATAGCAAGACCCTTTCTCAAAACAAAACAAAACAATAGGGGAAATGTTAAAGTAAAAGATGCGAGTGGGTGTCCTGGGGTTCAGGAGGACCAATGAGTGGCACCCCTGTCAAACCCAGTTCAGGGCTGGGCACAGACACTGGACAGTTGGGGCCCAGAGTGAGGCCTTCGCCACTGGTCCAGTGGCCGGCATGTGTGGCCTCAGCACGCTGGCCCATGGCCTTGCTGCCGCTCTCATTGTCCTCAAATCAGGCCCCAGTGAGGGCATGAACATGCCAGTCGGGGGTCAGCAGGATGGTGGGGCCTGGCTTGGCTGTGTCCATTGGGCTCCCACAGGGTCCTGAGCACGTTTCCTACCTCACTTTAAAGCTGAGGCTCAGTCCAGGAAGGGCCTGGGGCTGGGATGTAGCTCAGGAACAGAGCCCTTCAGCGGGCCTAAGGGCTGCTCTCCCTGGAGCAAGAATCCTGATTAATCTCCATCCTGAGATAAGGAGGCAGCCTGGGAAGTGAGGAGTGACTGCCCCGTGCCATAGGAGCCAGGGTAGAAAGCCAAAGAAACAGGCTTAGAATCCATGCGTTTCAAACTGCAGGACACCCCACGGCACACAGCAGGACACAGAGACCCTTCGCACTTCGGCGCTCTGGGGATTACTGTCCCCTGTCGAGGACGGGTGGCCACCGGAACCCGAACCCCTCCAGTCACCATCCTCTGTCCTCCTTGGGGTTGGGCCAGAAGTGCCGCCCCAGCCCTGCTTCCTCCACACAAAAGCGAGGAGGAGACCGAAAGGAGGTGCTTGTTCCATTAGAGATAATTCTGGACAGCTAAGCTTTTATTCAGCAATCATTCCTAGAAACCCACCTTTGAAAAATAATTCAAAAGAAGAGCAAAGCTATATGGATAAAGATTTTATTACAATAATATTAATGATAGAAAAAACCAAAGCATTGCAAAATGGTAGGCTGTAAAAGTGTGCATGTGGCACACACCTGCCATCTCAGCACTCAGGAAGCTGAGGCAGGAGGATCACCAAAAGCTCAGGGCCAGCCTGGACTACATAGTGAAACCTGTTGCAAAAAAGAAAAGAAGGATAGAAAAGAAAAAAGTAGAATTAGGGCCAGGGATTTAGCTCAGTGGTTTCACCGCCTGCTGTGCAACTGCAAGGACCCAAGTTCGATCCCTGGTACCAAAAAAAAGAAAAAGAAAAAAGTAGAATTACAAAATCCAAGTCCCTTTGCAAGACATGGGGTTAGGAGGAAAATAACTAGAAGACTAAACCGTATCTCCCCCAGAATAAGTTATATAAAATCAGGTATGCTTATAATGAGCAGGAGAGGGGTACAGGCAAATGAAACATTTTGTTCTCCTTGACTGATGTGTTGTTTGTAAAGTTTGTGCAATAGAAATGGGCGGGAAGTCACAATCTTTCTAAAGAGTCGCCCAGGGGAGCTTGTGCGACCCAGTGGGTCTGACTGCCCCCCCTTCACACTGAGTAACCTGCTCCCTCCTCCTCCGCAGTACAACGGGCTGGGCAACTGCCTGCAGGGTCCAGCCGGGGTGCCCGGTCGAGATGGCAGCCCCGGGGCCAATGGCATCCCTGGCACCCCTGGGATCCCCGGCCGGGACGGGTTCAAAGGAGAGAAGGGGGAGTGCCTGAGGGAGAGCCTGGAGGAGCCCTGGACCCCCAACTACAAGCAGTGCTCCTGGAGTTCGCTGAACTACGGCATAGATCTCGGAAAGATTGCAGTAAGTAAAGTCCTGATTCCTTTAAAGGTGATATAAGGGGAAAGCATTTTCCTATCTGAGCATTAACTTTTGGTGAGATTATACTGTTTTTTTCAACTAAAAAACATGCCAGGCATGTGGCGCATGCCTGTTATCCCAGCACTCAGGAGGCTGAGGCAGGAGAATCACTGTGAGTTCAAGGCCAGCCTGAACTACAAAGTGAGACCCTGTCCCCAGAAACAAAACAAAACAAATCAACTAAAAAACTTTTTTTTGGTACCAGGGAGCAAACTCAGGACCTTGCTCTTGCCAGGCCTCTGAGCTACATCCCTGCCCCTAAAAAACCTTTTTAAGAGGTAAGGAACAGCACATGACTTTCAACTCAAATTTAGTGGAAAAATGATAGCATTTCTGAGTTTACTTTATAAATGTATTTCTAAGACAAATAAATCACTATAGATTTTTTTCTTTTTTGGTACCAGGGATCGGACTTGGGTCCTTGCACTTGCGCAGCAGGCAGCGAAATAAATCACTATGGATTTTTAACCGTAACATCTAAAATAGCTTTTTAATGCAAAAAAATAAAATGAGGAGAACGTAGGTCAAATGGTAAGCCACTTGCTAATCTTGTCCAAAGGTGAATTTAAACTCAGGTTGGTCTAGGAAGCTCTGCTGTGACTTCAGACCTAAAGGTGGAAGAAATTTCCAAGAACCTCGCGTGATAGGAGCTACCTGCAGATGGGAGTCTGTAGGGCTCATCCTTCCTCTGACCGGTACCCTCCGCTTAAAGTTGCCGAAGCAAGGAGAGCCTAAGGGACCCAGCCGGAGGTTTGCGCTGACTGAATTACTCTGCGACACTTGGTGGCCCGGAAGAGTTACTCAGAACAGCGAGTCTGCCGATGTGATTGATTCCCGATGCAGTCACCTTGGCGTTTGCTTTAAAAATAGTCAGCGAGACCAGCGGGGTGGGCGGACCTGAGCCGCTGGTACAGTTTGTGAGCCTGTCTCTTCTTTCAGGGACCAGTTCCATGGCCGGTCCGCTTCTGTAGCTTAGTACTTCCTGCTTTAGTGACCACTACCACTGTAATAGTGGAAGTGGAAGGGATTTTATTTTCATGAAACTCGGGTTTTTAGATGCAGTCTGTGCATTATTCTTGCTCCTCAGCTCAGCTCTTCTGCTCTGTTCTCTGTAAAAGGAGCCGAGACTGTCTTGGCTTTGGGTAACTGAATTTCCATCTGGCTCCCACAGTTTTGGTGACAATGACCTTTTCCCCATTCATGTGTGATTTCTTAGAAAGCATTTTGTCAAAATATTGCCTGATTATTGTTATTATTATTATTATTTATTTATTTTTTTTTTTAGGCAGGGTCTCCCTTTGTAGTTCAGGCTAGCTCTGAACTCACTATGTAGCCCAGGCTGGCCTTTGACTCGTGGTGACCCTGCTGCCTCAGCCTCCCAAGTGCTGGGATTACAGGCATGCACCACCATGCCTGGCAATATTGCCTGATTATTAAACACGTGACATTGATAGATTGGTTGCTTATTTATAGTTATTGATACATAGTATCAAAAGTTGCTGAGTTCTCTCTGTATGCAACCCTATGGATTATAAATCACTACTATGTCTTCAGGCCCCTTTCAGCAGTGGTCAGAAGGGGTACCAGAACCTTCTGCAAGTAAAAGTGGTCTAACAAAAGACCACAGACAAGACAGATGCTGCAAAGACCAATTGGAGAGAGAGAAAACATTTATTTAGATCTTAAGATTGCCGGGGATTTAGCTCAGTGGTTCCGCCGCCTGCCTCGGAAGCGCAAGGACCGGAGTTCGATCCCCGGTAACAACAAAAAAAGAAAGATTACCTCATGGGGGCGGCGAAGGCTAACGCCTGCTCACCTTCCCCTCCTGGTGCTGCTCGCTCGCGCTCAGAAAGGAGCGTTTACCGGGTAAACGCGCGAGACGCCGGGCTTTTTGTCCTGGCGCCTGGGTGGTTTTGGTAAAATGAGAAGCACTAAATGGGGCAAAAAAAAATCTAGGAGAGCCACGCTTTGGTGCTCACCGTCTGGTGGGAGAGCGAGGACGCGGGAGGCCGGCTACGGCCGCCCGCCCAGCGCGCCTCTGTCCGCAGGAGTGCACCTTCGCCAAGACGCGCGCCCGCAGCGCGCTGCGCGTCCTGTTCAGCGGCTCGCTGCGGCTCAAGTGCAGGGGCGCCTGCTGCCAGCGCTGGTATTTCACCTTCAACGGGGCCGAGTGCGCGGGGCCGCTCCCCATCGAAGCCATCGTTTACCTGGATCAGGGAAGCCCGGAGCTGAACTCGACAATTAACATCCACCGCACCTCCTCCGGTAGGTACGCAGTGAGGCTGAGGCGCTTGGGCCTCGCCGGCGGGTGGGGTCGCCACCTGGGCTGCGCCTCAGAGTTACCTGGGGATCTAACAGAAATGTGCGGATGCCTGGGCGCCATCTCTAGCCGCTGGCCCAATCCCCAAGGGCATCTGTTCGTTTGCCTCGGAGGCAGGGTCTTGCTGTGCAGTCCAGCCTGGTCTTGAACTCATGACTTAGCCCAGGCCGGCCTCAAACCCATCGCACTGCTCCCGCATCAACCTCTGAGTGCTGGGACTACAGGCGCGTGCTGCCACGCCCAGCGATCTCGCCCACATATTTCGTAAAAGATCCTGTGGTGATTCTGATGTGGCCAGGGTTGAAAATCAGTGGCTATTCATGCTCATTCTCAGCTGGGCTCCCCGGGGAGCTTGGAAGAAAGCCTGCGGATGGGCAGCGTGTCCTGGAAGTCCGACTCCAGAATGTGGGTGGAGCCCGGGCAATAGGACTTTCCACCCCGCCCCTCCTTAGTGTAAAGCAGGGCTCTTTGTGATCAGATGAAAAAGCTTCTTCGTGAGAATGAGCCGGAGAGGAAGAAGCGCTTGTCTTCTCAGACGCAGCCTCTAAAATAAGAAAGATCTAGATACAGTGTATCAGATATCATTACCATTAGCCACTAGTTGATTCAAACAACTACTTTCTGTGATAGCATCTTTAAAGGTGGTTAATATCTTACGGTAACGTGAGCCCTTAGGTCCGAGGGCTGTGGCATATACATGCATATCTTTTATAAACTAACAAAGCATTCCCCAAGCAGTGCAGAAACACATTTGATACGATCAAGTGGCTGGAATGTCCCAAGTGATCTGCAGTTAGTAACAGTTTCCACTTCGGGTGACTTGGTGGCTCCATAATCGCGTTCCCTTGCACACTGAGACTCTTGAGGGAGAGGACGCGGGTGTCGACAGTTGTCACGTCAGAGGAAGACAGCACCTTGGCTGTGCCCACGTTTGACAAATCGTTGAATGTCATCTGTCACTTGCATTGAGAACTCTAAATCCTACATATTTTAGATGCTTAGCAAGCTGCTGCGCTGTCTTAGCACTGCAAACTGTTAAGGCGCCCTCCTTCAACAAACGTGACTCGGTTTGTTAGTGCTCATGGGGCGACCGTTTGCTCTCCACATGGGGGGCGGATGCTGGACCCAAGCTTTTCTGACACGAGAGGCTGTAGGGTGGTGAATGCAAGTTTCCAGGCTGTGAATGGCAAGGCTTTGGGAAAACATGAGCACTGCTGGGCACGTTCACCAGGCTGGGTACCGAGAATACCAGGTCGCATGCCCACTGCCTAGTTCTCCCAACACTGTAAGAGGCCTGAGCCACAGCCAGCTCCCCGCTCCTGACGGGAAGCCCTAGACTTACCGATGTGACAGTTTTCGGAAGCATAATGCTTCAGAACTCCATCCCTGCACCTCAGCTGGGAGGCCCCGAACTCCAAGAAACAGGAAGTCAAGCCAGTCACTGCACTGCCGCTGTGCCGGGATTCATTTTCCTAAAGAGCCTTCCACCCAGTTCCTTCCCCCTCACGGACACCACAGGCGACACGTCTTTCAGCCTGGTGTAGTGACCGTGAGTTTTAGGTATGGGTGAAGACCCTTGGTGAGATGGAACGCAGGCTGCACGTTAGTACGTGAAAATTGAGGGGGTTGTGAAAAGATGCACAGTTAGGAAGCATCACAACAGAAGTGAAGCAGGGTGTTTGATTTTTTTACTAGGAGGAAATCGTATGTAAAATGGGATTCCCAGACTGAAGAGCTGGTATGATGATTATGCTAGAAGTTCTTTCTGGTAATTTATGATGGCCCTTTCTTCTGCGTGAATAGCATCAAGGATACAGATAAGTGGTGGGAAGAGCCTTCCACAAAAAGCCTTGCGTCTCTTGGGTCAGGCCTCTTGTAAAGTTGGGAAGTCTTGGCTTTTTAAAGTGTAGGGTTTTTTTGTTTAGTCAGATAAACTGCCTTTTGGTTTTAGGCTATCTCTGTAACTAAACAAATTACAGCTTTATGGTTGAAACCTGTAGGAAAACCACCTGTTCAGCTCACATCATAGAGCAGCATCTTTGAAAAGATGTCAGCACCTTTAAAAATATTTATGTACCAACTGAGAAAAAACTTTATGATGGGACCTTTATCATGTATTAGAATTTTTAATTAGCTTTACAGTGAACGGATTTGTCATCTAGCTTTCTGGTTAGTGCAGAGTGAATGGCTCTGCCCTCTTGCTGAAGAAAGACGAGGCTGTGCTGTGTCTTGCAGTGGAAGGACTCTGCGAAGGGATCAGCGCTGGCCTCGTGGATGTCGCCATCTGGGTTGGGACCTGCTCCGATTACCCCAAAGGAGATGCTTCCACGGGGTGGAATTCAGTGTCTCGCATCATTATCGAAGAACTCCCCAAATAAACCCTTTCAGTCTTCGTCATTCTCTACCTCCTGCTTTAATTATACCTTCAAATGGTTCCTCTAAATGGTATTTTAAAAATTATTTTACATACGCATCTAAATGAAAAACAAAGCTAGCCATGTTTACAGACCAAAGTGTGATTGCACACTGCTTTTAAATCTGGTGTTATCCATTTCACTTCAGCCAAAACTGGCTTCAGGATTTTAGTCAACTAGCAGACCTTCTTCATGTTCTTGTTCCCTGAACCTAGAGTTTGGAATTCCATGTGGTGCTTAGTTTTTCCTGTTCTCTTCGTGTAGCTGTTTTAAAAATCTAAAAGTTACCAGTCTTTGTACAAGTTATGTTTAGAATTATTTTGCATCTGTTAAATAAAACATATTTCAAACAACTTTAAAATCTTTTTTTTTGGTACCAGGGATCAAACTCAGGACCTTGCATTTGTGAGGCAGGTGTTGGAACCACTGAGCTAAATCCCCGGACCCCAACTTTAATATCTTTAACCTACTTGCCATTAAAATTGGAGTTGCTAGCACTTGATATCTGAAAGGTTGAGTATAAATCTAACTTTGTGTTTATTCCTTCAACAATTGATATATGAATTTTTAGTACATGTATAGTGTGGTTCTGTATCTTGAGGGATACAAAGAAAAAAGGTGTTTAGGTCTCAGGAAACACATGAGCACTTTAAGAATTTAACAAAGAGTACAAAAGACGTGGAGTTGGACCTCAAATTGCTTATTTAGTATAAAGAATCAGACATACATATAAACAAAAGTGCTGAAGAAGGTGGTACAGTCACTCTGACCACGGTGATCTGAAAGAATTCCTGCAGGCTGGACAGGTGTAGACTGATGAACGTAAGTGGATTCTGGGATCCAGCATGGGCTCATGAAGGGCTTTGTCTTGAACACAGCTGGAAAACAATGAGAAAGTTGCCTGGCTTTGTTTACAGAGCAATGACCAGCCTGTGCAGCGCAGGTTGTGATCTCTGCACACCATTTCCTACCAGAGGAGCTAAGGACCCCTGACACATGTGTGAGTGTGTTAGTCAGCTTTTTGTGGCTGTGAGAAAAGACCCGAGAAACGAGGTAACTGAGGAAAGGTTTATCTGGGCTGTTTCAGAGGGTTCAGTTCATGGTCACTTGGCTCTTGCTCTTGGGCTTGCCTGTGGTCAGCAGAATAGCATGGTGGGGAGCAGAGAAAGCTGTCTCATGGCAGACAGGAGCCAGAGAGGTAGAGGCTGGTGTCAAGTCACAGCCCCCAAGGTCACACAGGCACCCAGGACCCAATTCCTTGAAGTAGGCCCCTGCCTAAGTTTCCATTACCTCTCAGTAATGCCACCAGATTATGAACCCATCAACAGATTAACCCACTGATGAATTAATCTATTAATCCACAGGACCCACGATCCGGTCACCTTCCAAAAGCCAAGTGACCAAACACATGTCCTTTAGGGGACATTTAGATCCAAACTCTAACAGTGATTTTAGCTCTGGGGCAGGAAATATATAATAGGAGCCTGGCACACCTTGTTATTCTGGAAAATGAGGTGACCATGGAAGATAACACAAAAGGTGCTGAGGGGCCAGTTGAATTGGCTCCACTGGCAAAGATGAGATGACTGAAACATCAATAAAGGTAACTGTGATGGCTTGAGACATATACATATGTTCAAATCCACGAGTTCCTAACATATCAAAATAAAGCCCACTGGTCAACTTATAGAATGCCAGCAAAGCAACTTACACTCAAAATTGGTAAATAGAACCAATATTTATTCTGCCTTCTTTATATAAACTGTATCTCTAGGTAACCAAATTGTTGATGAAGAGAAAATTTCTGTCTGTCTGTCTGTCTGTATAACAGATGTTGGGAAATGGGAAGAAAATGTTCAGATGGGAAGGGGAACAAGGGAGGAAGGAAGGAGAGAGGAAGGAAGGGACAAGAAAAAAAATGAAAGTAGAAGGAAAAACTGGAAACAGCTTTTGTACACGGGGGGTGGGGGCTTGAGGGGGGAATGGGATAAAATAACATTTATTAATAAAAAAGGAAAAATCTATCTATCCATCTATATCTGTGTGAGACAAGGTCTTGCTATGTAGTCCAGGCTGGCCTCAAACTCACAGCGATCCTCCTGCTTCAGTCTCCCAAGTGCTGGGATTGCAGGTGTGCACCACCACACCTGGCTTGGAATTTCTCTTCATAAAAGGATATATACACAGTATCATGCATCTTATAGTAATATCATTAATACCGTAAGCCCCTGACTTACAAACAAGTTACATTCTGGGAGAATGTTTGGATGTTGGAATCATTTGTGAATCTGACAAAGTGAGCCTTATATACTTTTTTTTTTTTGTACCTGGAATCAAACTCAGGGCCTTGCACTTACCAGGCAGGCACTGTGCTGCTGAGCTAGATCCCAGGCCCTAAGTCTTATATACCTTTGACTCAGATATACAGTGTAAAGCATAAAAAATCAAACACACACACAAAAAGAATGTAAATTTAAATATTTTTACAGTTATATTGAAGAACTACAATAACTATAAACTTTTCATGTTTGCTTCCATGGTTATCGCTTTGCACTTCCTAGCAGTCCCCTCCACATCACCACTGTTTTTCCTCATGCCTCCAGACACCCTGGGCTCTGAGCACTGTCCTACTGTACACTAATGCACTGTTCTGTGTGCACACAGCAGCACAACTGTGACAATGTGCAGCTATTTCCTAGATTTGTTCAAATCTACGACCATTTGTAATTCGAGGTCTGTTCGTGAAAGTTGTGGACGTTCACAGCTTGAATGTCTGTAAGTCAGGTACTTACTGTGTCTAATGAATGAAGAGTGACAACATTAGAACATCATCTTTTCAACCCCTTATGAATCGAGGGATCTAGCAATGTTCATCAATGACTGATAACATTCCCAAAACAGAAAGAACTGACTAAGTACCTCTTAGTAAAATTACACAACACTACCCAAGAGGTAGTTTTCCCAAGAAACAATCAAGCTTGAATCTGATTTAACCTCCAGGTATAACTATTAGTTTGTAGGAAATACAGAGGATAAAAGAACATGTTTATTGATATAACAGATGTATAATCAGCAAAATGTAGACACTGGGAAATTGGAAAGACAGTTTCTTCAAAATATATATTGCAAGACAACAGAAAGACAGCTAGGTGTCTTAAAAAGATGCACAATATCGTTCATCATTAGGGAAATGCAAGTTAAAACTATACTGAAATACTCTTATACCCACTAGGATGGCTATAGGGAAAAAATGGAAGCTAAGTGTTGGGAAGGATGTGGAGAAACTAGAACTCTGATAAATTGCTAGTGGGAATATAAAATGGTACCTCCATTATGGAAATATATAGAGCTTGTAGAATTACCATATGGCCTAGCGTTTCTCTTCCTAGATAAGAACTGACAAAAAGAACTGAAAACAGGTATAAACAAAAAAACTTGAACACAAATATTCATAGCACTATTCACAATAGCCAGGAGGTTGAAACAATTCGTATGTTCATCAGCTGGAAAAATGGATAAACAAAACATGGTGTATAGAAACAAAGGAATATCATTCAGTAGCAAAAAGAATGAAGAGCTGATAGATGCGTATACGATAAACTTAAAGCATTATCCCAAGTGGAAGAAGCCAAACACAAAAGGCTACATGCTGTAGCAGACCAGAGGAAAGGGGAACGATTTCTCAGTATATAGAAGATTCCCTTTTGTTGTGATGGAAATGTTTTAGAACTATGTAAAGATGATAATTGCCCAACACTGAAAATGCACTGCCACTGAATTATATACTTTCAATGGCAAAGTAGCTCATTTATGGTATATGTATCACACACACACACACACACACACACACACACATACACACACACACACACGGCAACTACTGCAATGGTATGGCTTAAGTGATGACCCCAGGAATGAGAGAGAGAGATTTGAGGAAGGACTTCCAACTGGATTCAGGGAAATGAACTACCAGAGAATCAATATTACTTCAAGGTTTCAATCTTTTTATTTTTCCATCCTAGACCCATTAACCCACATATTCCTTAGAATCTCCTGGTAAGCTCATAAACTCCTCAAACTTTAGATTCAAAATAAAACACACACTTTGTAGCCATAGTCAATTTAGCCACATTATTTCTTTTCTTAAAATTAATTTTATTGGTACATTTTAGATATAAAATATAATTACATTCATCATTGGAAATCTACACCTTTACATAATCTCTTTTGGTTATTTTTTTCCCCATTCCCCTGCCCTCCCTATTCACAAAGTTTTTCTTTTCATTTTCTCATATTAATCCATTCCCTTCTTTGCTTTCCCCGACCCCTCCCACTTCCCCTTCCCCTTTGCCCCTTTTCTTCCTATTTCACATTATCTATTATACCTTTTAGTCCTTATTTACACTTTCAGTTTCTCACACTGGAGAAACTATTCGGTATTTATGCATGTGTCCTATTTATTTCACTTAAGAGTATCGCCTCAATGTGCATCCATTTAGCTATAAATGTCTCTAATTTCTCATTTTATGGCTGAATAGTACTCCATTTTTTAAAAACCCACATTTTCTTTATCCAGTCTCCATTTGATGGGCAATTGGGCTGCTTCAAAGTTTTAGCTATTACAAACTGTGCTGCTATGAACATGGGTGCACATATATCACTGTGGTATGATTCTTTTCATTCTTTTGGGGAAGATCCCCAGCAGGGGAATAGAGGGGTCAAATGGGACTTCCAGTCAAGGTTTCAGTCTTGAGACACTGGGAGAAACAAGAAGGGAAGTCAGAAGGGAATTTTGTGGCTTTGAGCACGTTGAGTGCATTATCGATGGGACATCTATCAGAGCTGCCCAATAACACCTGGAAATGAAAGTCTGGAGTTCAAAGGAGTGTCTGGGAATCAACATGAATTTTTGGCAGTTTTTAGCATAAAAGTCATAAAGCCATGAGAAGAGACATGATATTGCAAAAACAAAACAACAACAACAAAAACCCTACCACCAACAAAAAACAAAGTAAGGAGAGAGACAAATACGAGAGAGAAGAAAATTTCAGATTATAGACGTGTAGTAGATAAAGTAAAGGATCATTGAGTCAGTGATGTAGTTTCATGAGAGGGTGGGTAACAATATCAAACCCTGTATCAATGTTGTGAGGTTTACGACGGACAAGCAGGGTGAGTCACAGCAGCTGGATGGATGGAAGGCAGTTGGGGACCTCTCTTCCCACCTTCACATTTAGAGCACCCCACTGGTGGCTTGAAACAGACCATGGGGGGCATTACACCATGGAAATCTCAAATCACAAATACTATAAAAGCAGGGCTTCTCTACCCTCTCACCCTGCAAGACCTGAGTGTTAAAATGTTTACCAAATACACCACTGGAAACAGCTGATTCACAGGCTTCTGGCATTTGTTGGATGAATGACCTTATCCATGAAGTCAGTCTGTCACCCCCGCCCTGAGTAACCCCTACTAGTTGCTTTCTTTACTACTGCCCCCAACCTGTAAGAGAAGACACCACTCACTCTCAAATTCAATATGGATCCATCTTATCTGACTTCATCTTGCTGCTCTTTGCCATTCTGCAGTGGCACTTCTAGCCTTCCTGGCATTTATAATTGCGTCTCCTAATCTAGTGGTTCTCAGCCTTAGCTATATATCGCAGTGACTTGGGAGGAGTAGAAAAGCCCTTCTAACTATAACTGTAATTGCAGAAGTTATTCAAGAGAAGCGTTATCAGCAAATACATCACTTACATAAACAATTCTGCAAGGTGAAAAAGATCATCCACAAAGTTGAAATATAAATAAAATAACTGATCACAGTATTTGCAACTCATATCACAGCCCAAGGGTTCATCTCCATCATTTATAAAGAGCCCCTAGAAATCACAAAGTAAAAGGCCAAAGCCCAATAGAAAATGGCAAAGAACACATGAAGATAGTTCATACACATATATACATATGTACGTATTCATATACATATGATCAAAGTATAGTTTAAATTCTAAAACTTTATTACAGTAAGACATTGCCATTAATCCCACTCAAATTACCTCCTCTTCTTTTGTTTTTGTTTTTTTGGGGGTTTTTTTTGGTACCGGGATCAAATTTGGGTCCTTGCGCTTGTGCAGCAGGCGGCCAAACCACTGAGCTAAATCCCCGGTCCTCCTCTTCTTTTGAGTACAGTTATCCTATCATTCCTGTCACTTTCTGAAGCAGTTCTGGAAGTCCTCTTTCATGGGTGTCTTTATGAGGTGTGATCAAAAACACATATATAGTGAGTGTTGGCAAGCACCATTCAATAGAAAGGCAGGCTCCTAAGAACATTAGTCTGTCCTCAGCCACCTTGTTCACCAGCTCTGGCACTATGCAACTTCTCACTCTTCCCCAAGGTCAAGATGATCTGAAAGATCCACATTTTAAATAGATTCAGAACACGGAGGCAGCCATGGCAGCACCACAAGACACTCACTAGAGGACTTCAGAGCCGCTTCAGAAAGAGGCAAGCATGATGGCACACGTGTGTTCGGAGGGAGGGATAGTAATTTGAAGGGGATTAATGGCAATGTGTCATTCACTGTAATGAACTTTTAAAAATTTACAACATTCACTGAATTTTTAGATCACACCTTGTATGTGAACTAGAAGGTAGGAAAGAAATCCCACACCTTCTGGGACAAACTTTGCCCAACTCATGATCACAAGCTGGCTCTGGAGACCCGCAAGTTACATGTGAGCTCACTCCTGAAGCAGCAGAGCATCTGCACCAGTGTGTGGAGGAAACAGAGCTCTGCGAGGAGCCGCTTGGTTCAGAGGAGGTAACCCCACGGATTCTGGACTGTTCACCACTAGGAATGGAGACAGTGTATGCAAACCGACCCTGCCCATCCCCGTCGGGGTGTCTGGGGCAGGTGAAGTTGATTCCATCTAAATCACAAAGCTGAAGAAGAGGGCAGAGGGTAGCTTCCAAAAAGAAATTCCGCTAGCTCTCCAGGAAGAAAGAAATGGGTTCTGGGCAGCCAGTGCCAGGAATGAATTGCTGGTACTTCCAGAGTCTATTTCCTTATTTATCCCTTTAGAAAGAAATTGAAGAGTTTTAAGTAATGCAAAATTTCACATATATCCTGCATGTTACCTAACACATTGTTAAAAACAGCATAAAGGTTAAGTAAAGAATCTCACAGTATTTTATTTCCCGAAGCTGTTTTCTAATCACCCGAGACCTTGCTATAAAAGTGCTGATGATATGTACTCTATCTGGAAGACTGTTTTTAGCAGTGTTCACATCCAAAAGAAAACCGAACTCTGAAGACCCACGAACTCAAACATCCTTTTAATTGGCATCCCTTTTTACTGCAGTGTTTGGAAAACATGACTCCCTGAATGCCCCAGGCCCCAGAAGCACCTTCTCCCGAGGCACGGCACCTGCTCCTGCTCCGGCTCCCACGCGCGCTTCGGTGTTTGCGGGCCTCTATCTGTACCTTCAAGGGCTCCCCTGCAGCCGTGTTCCCGCTTTCCTTGCCTACCTCCTCTCTCTAGACTCACGGTACTTTCAGGCTTAAACTTCTTTACTCTCCTTTATCTGCTGAAATCCAGCAGAGGCCAGAATGGAAGGAATCCTGCAGCTGCCTCACCTCCTCAGCCTCTGTAACGTGAAGCTGCTCGGTCCTCAGTGGCGTCCACCTCCCCCCACTGAAGTATCTTCCCGGCTGGTGACCCCCAGATTTCGGCTCATTCCTCCCGTGCCCCGAAGGGTGCCGCGTCTTTGTTCTAGTCCTGCCTGCTTCTCCCACTCGCCACAGCCCAGCAGTTCAGGGAGGCCGAGTCCCACCCGCCAGCTGCCCGAGCTCCCTCCAGAAGCTCCTCCCCAGGCCCGCCTCCCAGGGTTCCCGCTTAGGAGCCCTGCGCAGTCGACCAGCGTAAGCGGCCACCAGCGCCTGCCTGGATGTCCTGTCCGCCCTCCCCACACGATCAGACCACCAGGTGCTCCCTTATCACTCGACACTTCCTGTGGCCTACACGGCCAGGCCCGGCCCGGCCCCGCGGACTTGGCTTCTGCTCCTGTTTCCTGGCCCAGGCTCCACGGCTATTTGGACTGGCTCAGTCAGTGCTGTCGGCAGCCCCTAGCTGCGGTCTTACTGACCTCGGCCTGGTCCCCACAGGGCTGCTGCAGGCACTGGCTGCCGACGCTCGCCTCCACCCTTCAGGAGCCGTCCTGGGCTGGGGACACCCAGCCCACCCTCGCACCTTCCACAGCCAGGCGCCCTGAGCGGCCCGGGGCCCCCTTCCCGCCTTCTCCCCACAGCTTTCTCCCAGTTCTTCGGTTCCCGCGGGGTCAAGCTGAAGACGAGGGCTAAAATCCAAGGCCAGCCCGGCTCCTTCCAGCCCCCCAGGTTAAGCCCAGACACAGGAATGGTGCGCACTTGACAATGAGTGGCCGGGGTCCCTGCATCTTCGCGGTGCAATGGGGGCGGTAGCGGCGAGGCAGGAGCAGGCTACGTGCGCGAGAAGGGCTCGTGCAGGGAGTCTCTGCTGGGCATGAGACTGGGGCCAGTCCCCGCGGGAAGCGGAGTCCCGGGAAATTCAGGCCGCAGTTCTGGGTTTGGAAAGTTATGATGCTACAGAAAACGACACATCAACACTTGAATGAATGTAGATTTTTGTACATGAATAAATGTAATTATTTTACACGAAAAAATAAGACATCCCCTGGAAATAAGCCCTGCTGTATCTTTCAGAGCAAAAATTGATAGACGGCTTGGTCTTCTTTTCGGGGAAGTGTGGCTTGTCTTTCTATTTAAGGACAAATACTGGCACTGCATATGAACTGAAATATAATCCAGAATTAAGAAAAAATAACAACTTACAAAATATTCCTGTTCATGTTACAAGATATTAAATACAATTAGGTACTTATCATTTCATCTCTATTTTAAAAACAATTCCATTTCCAGTATATAAAAAATAGACCTGTTTTCAAAAAGCCATTTAAATATGGCTTTGAAAGCCCCAATGTTTTATTTACAACAGGAGTGCAACGCAGCACTCACAGATGTTTACGATAAATAAAATACCACTATCACTCTTTTTTGCTTTTTTGTGGTTTAGGGGGCTGAACTCTGGGCCTTCCTACTGACCTACATCCCCAGTCCTTTTCTTTGGAGACAATGTCTAAGTTTTCCTGCAGCAACCCTCCTGCCTCAGCCTCCCAGAGTACTGGGATTACAAATCTGCACCACCACATTTGGCTTACTGACATCCTTCTGGGGTAGGCCCTTGTGTTTATAAACATCTATAGTGCCTCTTTTTAAGTAAACTCAATAATGGCCATTAATGTAATTTGTATTTCAACTTGAATTTGAACAACCAATGTAAGTTAATCATTTATTTGAGATCTGGGTCCATAAATCCAAAAGTTAAAGAAGTTTCTCATTTCCATTCAGTTAACAAACACATTTCAAACATTTCAGCATCTGCAAAAGCCGAATGATCCACTCAGCATTTCTGACAAGTGATTTATAGCCATGTATGCTAAATAAAGGCTGACACAGCTGGATCCTAGATGTTTAGACTTTATAAACTGAAATACTAAGTACTTATGGCAAAAATAAAAATAAAGTAAAAGACTCGAGTCAGGATTATGTTTTAAACTATGGAAGCGCCTCTGCAGTTAGCAATGGAATGACAACAGATATCAGATGTTTCTCAGAGCAGCATATAACTCCTCAGGGGCCTGCAGCCGGTGCATTTCAAGGTGGCTGAACTAAAACACATTACAGTGCACTCTTCTTACTGGTGCCACATTCCGGATCTGGGGAGATCTCATCCCAAAGGTTATTTACCCTGAGAACCCTGACATTCTCCAGAGGAGCCATTCGCTTGCTACTGCACAAAGTTCAATCTTAAAGCCAATCCAGGCAATGAGATCAGAAAAAGCAGCATTTACAAAGGCTGCAAATTAGTTTCTGCTTGAATGATGAAAGGGAAACGGAATTGCTGTCCGTTTTAGCATCGTATAGACGGCAGCCGTCATGGGCAGAGGTAGCCGAGTCCTATCCAGGTGGAGAAGGCAGACTGCAGAAATGCTGCAAAGACTTGGCAGTTCTTGAGTTTACATTACAGGCCAATTCTGGTTAGGAGCCGCTGTGCAGCATTTGTCTGAGCTTGTTACCGCCTTGGGCAGAGGTGCTGATTATTTTCTTTTAGCTTACTTTCTTTTCTCGAAGGTCAAGTAGGAAATGTGAGACATTTTCATAGACCACAAAGGTAATACAGCAGGCTGGAGTTACTCTTAGCAAATTGGGAGCGATTCCTTTGTAAAATCCACCAATGCCTTCTTTCCTTTAGAGGGAAAAATAGATACATGCTTAATTTCTTAAAAAGCAAGGCTGAAAACACAGATTTTACCTGACCCAGAGCATAGAGTGAGCAGCAGACCTCATGTTCCAGTGCACCGAAGGAATGTAATTTACAAGTATTTCTTCCATGAACTGAGGAAGGAGGTGGGATGTCTCAAAAATAAACTGGCAAGTGTTTAAGTTAACCAGCTTTAAATACTTTTAAATGAATAAACACACAAGTGTTTGAACTGATCTCACATGGGCCTTAAAAAGCTCAGAGCTATGTAAATGCTACACAATACTCAATATGGCACACACATAAAGAAGATTTTATCCCTTTGGTGCCTACAACAGTGACAGCAAACCTTGCAGAGGCACAAATGGCCCACGGTGGCACCCATGCCATAGGTTCACCACCACTGGCCTAAAACAGGACAGGACCTAGAAACTTGTCACACAGGTTCAAGGCACTTTCACATGTCTCATTTTATATTTTTTTGGAATAAGGTCTCCTTAAATTGCCCAGGCTGGCTTCTAACTTGTGATTCTCCTGCCGTAGCCTCCTGAGCAGCAGGAATTACAGGCCCATACCACCACGCTCAGCTTTAATTTTATTTTCATAAAAACCTCGTCAGTCCAAACGGTCTAATTTTACAAATGAAGAAATCAAGCCTTACAAAGATTAAATGGGAAGCAGAGACCACCAGCCATGATTCTGCAAAGCAAACTGGTCTTTGCTGTACAACGCGTGACAAGCAGACAGAGGCAAAGACGCAAGGCAGCTCCTCAGCCTCTGACCCTGCACGCTCACCGCCACGTCCTGGCGATCACGTCCGCCACCCCGCCGTAGGACACGTGCTGATCCTGAAGACGGGCCCTCACCACCTGGTACGGGTATGTGGCTGCCACCGCAAATATTTTGGAGAGCGCTGCGACAGAGATGTATTCTGCTGTGCTCTAAAGTGACAACAGAAACATGGATTTCTTCATAAAAATCATAGGAAAATACACTTAAAGGGACTGCTAAATAAAAAATAGTATTTCCCCTCCTTGCTGCAGGTTCTGTGTGACTGTGGGGTTCTGTTTTCACATCCGTGAGCCACCAGCTTACAAAATCCTTAAATTAAAGAGGCGGGACAGCCAGGACCAGCAGGACAGCACACCCGCCTCCCGGCAGACGCCGCCGCACAGGGCTCTCCTACCAGCTGGGCTTCCGGCTGCCGATCGAGGTGCTGGTTGTACTTCAGCTTCAGCAGCTCATAGGCCATGAACTGAAGGGCTCCATGGGACGTCCCACACAGCCCAGGGACAAAGCCCTAGGGGAGATCAGAAAACAGCAAAGTCAAGCAGTTTTCAAGGAATAGTGGAAGGAGAACATTTTCTCTCTTCTTAGTATAGTATTAAGGAAAATTCATTTAAGTTTTGTATAAACCACATTTTTATATGAGGCTACAAATACTACTCTATTTCTTAAATTAGGTTTACATTCTCCTATGTTAGTTTTTCTTTCATTAGTACACATATAAAGGTGACCTCTACTGTCAGCAACTAGGGCATGAGAGGCAGTAAGTTTTGAAAAAGTAAAGCCAATGACAGACAATTCAAGACACTGAACAAAGCTACTCTAAAAGAGTAAGGCAAATGATGGAAGAAATAGAAGAGTCACTAATTTCTAAAGTTTTGGCCCCAGGTCAGTAATTCATAACACCAAGCTGATTTCAAAAACTATTGCACGTTGGTTGAAAACACACTAAAATTCAATGAGTCTCATTTTCATTTTAAACTGTGGGTGGCCTAAAAAATGTTACTGGGATACACACGAGGTAGGAGCGAAAGGTAGAAAAGTGGGAAATGGGGATAGAAAAGGAGTCGCAAATCACAAAACAGATCTTACTGCCACTAGGAAGAAATTTCAAAACAACCACAATGTTATTTTTATTTAATGAACATAAGATCTGAAGTGAATAAAATCCCCAATAAGTAAGATCCTATCAGACTCACTAAAAGGTACCTGGCAAAGCCTCAGACAGCTTTCTCACTGGCGGGGCCACAAGGACACAGCTATGGCAACGAGAATGAGCAGCGTAGGGTGGAATTCCAACAGCACGCGCTAGAATTCCATTTTCATTACACTGTATCTTGCCTGTGTCTGGCATTTTTAAAGGACTGATTGCAGGGCCTGAGGAAGCGAGACTAGTGCCAACAGAAACTCCAATTTTCAGCTGTCCAAAGCATACCAGTGATTCATTACCTTATACAATCCGCGCACACCTTCATACTTATATATTTTCACGAGTGTGTCAAACATTCCTTTGTATCGCTGGTGTGTGGAGTTAACGCTACCATACTGTAACATAAGGCGCGTTTTTGTTACCCACAGTGGGTTGGTGATGCAGAGGGTCATGGCTCCTGAAATCAGATTTAAACGAGACTGCTCAGCATACAGGCAGCAGGCATTTGGTCACTCATCAGTCAGGAAAAGTCGTGTTCTGCAGAGCAGGAGGGTGCACAGGGCTGGGGCTGGGTCTCTGAACAGTCTCAGTGGAACAGCGGGCAGCTTGGTCACAGCACTCTCTCCTCTCGGGGACATAAGAGGTGAATGAGAAGGGAGATGGCAACGTCTGACACCGACCCACTGAGTTACGGACGACAGAGCGGCCCTGGCTCCTAAGCGGTGGTCTGCTGCAAAGAAGGGGCTGCAGACTCAATGGACCACAGGAGGCGACATGGGACTGGGGAGGAACGGAAGTGACAGCTCTAGATCCATGCACCTGCGCACCTCCTCAACAGCACTCCAGGTGGCCGCAGACCCTTAGTTAACGAGGCAAAGAGGTAAGTCACACTTTACAGAGTGACAATTTATAAACAAGTTAAGAAAAATTTAAAGAAAAAATTAAATTAGGTTTCTTATTTACTGAATTTCCTACAGAGGCATTTATTCAAAAAATATTTACTGAGTCCTGTTATGATTCAGGTCTCTGGTAGCAGCTAGGAATTAAAAATGAGTAAGATGGGCCAGGCATTTAGCTCAGTGGTTCCGGCACCTGCCTCGTAAGTGCAAGGTCCTGAGTTTGATCCCTGGTACCAGAAGAAAAAAAAAAAAAAAGGAAAAATGAGTAAGACAGGCCGGGATTTAGCTCAGTGGTGCCGTACCCGCCTCAGAAGCACGAGGTCCTGAGTTCGATCCCCAGCACAAAAACAAAAACAAAAAAGGAGTGGGACAGTTCTTGCTTTAAAATCAACCAGCAAACATTAAGAAACCAAGATATCGACGGAGGATTTATAAAAACTCATGGGTCTTACTTTGTTCCTCCTTCTGGATAGCACATATATGTAAGGCAATGAAACAAGACTACTAGATTGTATATGTGAAAACCAAAACTATAAAGAAATGTATACCAAATCATTTTAAACTGTTAGGGATTCAAAACTTTTCTAAATTTCCCACCACTGCCCCCTTTTTTATGGTCATAGGGATGGAACCCAGGGCCCTTTACCTGAGCTACATCCCCAGTCCTCTTTATTATTTTGAGGTTTTAGTAAGCTCAGCTTTCAATCTTCCTGCCTCAGTCTGCCAAGGTTCTGGGAGAAGTAAAATTTCTGAAACCTATCAAGAGTAACCAGTAAAAATACCTATTTTCTAAGAAATTTCATATGGTACCTAATTAATATAGTTAGATAAGCATACTTAGTTCTGGTGTTCAAAGAAAGTAAAAATGGAAACCAAGTTTGGAAGGTGACGTTTCACAGTTCACACACTGCCTTACCGGCTTCAGCAGCTGAGATGAGGTATTGCGTTGCCTCTAACCGTTCAGCTCGTCCTTCTGTCTTATATGATTTAATGGCATTGTAACTAGAAGAATCCAACATGAACAATTTCATTAGGTGTAAGAAGAGCCCGTTTTAAAGTGCACATAAAATCAGTGACACTGGTCGCAAAGTAAAAGTGAATGTGTGATGCAGGTAAAAGAGAGGCCTTGTTTAAGAATGGACACGCTGCAAATGGCTCACTGTAAGGACGGCGCCGCGACCTCACACGCACGTAAGACAACCGCACAGGGAGTCAACCGGGACACCAGGCAACAGGGAGACGCCTGGGAGGAAAGGTGCAGAAGCCAAAGAGGCACCAACTGACGCGGGCGCACTGCGGCCGGTATCTATCACCTGCCTTTCGCACAGATGAAAAGATGAACATGCAGAGAGCTTTCTCCGCAAGGGCAACCGCTGGCACACACACAACCATAACAGAAAACAACACAGCGCTGTAAGAGCCAAAACCACAGCAGAGGTCACAGAGGCCTGCACAGAAGTCAGCACTGAGCTGGGCAGGGAGACGGGCACTGCCTCAGCGGGAAAGAGGTGAGTGTGGGCACCGTGACAGCAAACAGGGACCCTGAGCTGTGATTCCCCTGGATGCTGGGATTATAAGTGTGCACTGTCATGCCAGGCCAGGCCTGTTACTCCTAACCACCACTCCACTTTGCTCTCAGAAGAATCGATCTTGTCAAATATTACCAAGAGTGCTCTAAGAAACTACTGTTGTAAGAAATCCTCACCACACATTCCTATTACTTGTGCTTAGAAAACCTGACCACACAGTATGTGTGTGGGGAGACACATGTACAACTCCACCTCTCCACGTGTCTTGTAAGAGAAAATAAGAAACATATTTAAATAGTACTAAGCATGAATTTTATTTCGCCTTCACCTAAAAAATATTTTAAGTTTGGCTTGGCCACTGCCTTAAACTTACGACAGACCATCACTCTACTCAGCGCATGTGACAGAACCTTCTTCAAGCGACAATGCCACCTGACAGGTGAAGGCGTGGGCGAGGTGACAGCAGGTACAATGCAACAAACCCAGACCCTGCTGGCAACAGCCTCCCTCTGCCTTGTGTTCCCGCCGGAGTCTCGTGCTTGTGCTTCCACGAGGACCCCGGCCTGCCCCGTCCTGAACCTCTCCTTTACTGTGACCTTTCTGCAGGCCATTCAACACTGCGAGGACCCTGTGAGGAGATATGAGTCCCTCCTCACAGCATTTTAGGACTTATGAAATGTTCTATTTAGGGGGCACTCAAAATGGAGAAAAAACTTATTTTAATGATTTTTTAAATCAAAATTGGATACCAAGGAGAAGTGAAATTCACAGGATTCATTTTAGAGTTTCAGGTTTTTCCAGATCTGTAGCACTTTATAAAACCACTAATTAGTAACAAAATGGCTCATTTGACATTTTCTAGTCTATTTTAGCTGTTAAAAATGCTCAAGAATAACGAGAGGGCCAAAATCCTGCAGGGGCCCTTCAACTTTACTGTGAATTATTTAGATTCAGCTGTTTTTCAATAGCTTTAACTAAAATTAAAAGCTCTCTTTCTAACCTGTGAGAATTCAGCCTATAAAAGTAATACACATTTCACCTTCTCGAGTTCACACACACCAGTTCTGTAAGGTACTTTTCCATCTCATCGCTTCACGTTTTTCCCATTACAAACTTTCTTCTAGGCCAAATGCCTCTGAGAACTGGCAGTGAGGGAAACCAAAAAGCCAATTTGCTCAGACTCTTCTAACTCAGAGAAGCTGATTAAATGCCTCACCTTTCTGCTTACTCAAACAAAAATTCACTTTTATTCAATACCATGAAGTCTCCCAGGAATACTCACAAGAGAAAGTAAAGTCCCCAGGATAAACCTGCGCCCCACACATTTGGAGTGACTCCTTGATAAAGTCCCCGCAGTCCGTCAAGTTTCCAAATGGTGGCCAGGCAATGGAGGATCCCTTTATACTTCGGTCTCAGTTCCAATCCATCACTCACTGTATTAAAAGACACAGAGTTTGGTGAGAGCAAAGTTCCAGCTCAGAGCCATGCACACACACGGATGTTACAATCAGATACACAGCCCTTAGGTTACACTCTAGGAAGTGTTAGATTAGCTCTTAAACCACATCTCTTAGGCAAAAAGATTTCAATACTTAAGTTTTATTTTTGCTATTTGTAAAGGTTAAGGATACAAGTTTCAAAATATATTATTCAAAAAATCAACTAGCTAGGACCCCAATTCACATTAGAAATGCTAGCAAGACCTCAAGAGTGACTGGAGAGAAAATGAGGGAATGGGGTGAACATCTTCCTTTCTAGGCTCTTCACCCAAGCATGTGCTCAAGGACACACATGGACAGCTGTGGATGGGGACGGGCCTGCACAGACAAGCACAAACACACCCAAAGTCACATTAGAGGACAGGCAGGTATTTTGCCTGGATGCATCTATAATCGAACGCGTTTTCCTCACCTCTTCCGAAGCTGCTTTTATTCTCCTGCTCTGTCAGCTCCAAGAACCTCACTTCTATCCCACAGATGCCCACACAGACACTGGGCTCACCTGGGAACCCTCCTCCCTCCAACCCCTGCTTAACACATCCTTTCCATTCTATAAACCTCAGACCTATCAACCGCTGCTAACGCTGCCTTCTTCCTGCTTTAGGGTATCACCAATCTTCAACTATGAACAGCCGTCTTCTTGACAGTTTTGTAAAAAATATACTCTAGATCATAAATCTGGCATTCTTCTTCATTCCATGTTTCTTAGGAAACAAGATACGAGAAGCTAGGGTGTGAGGGGCAGTTAAAAGGACTGTTTCCAAAGCTAGGAGCATGTTGTAGGAAAAACCACAAGAAATGATGCAGTGGCAATGATGTCTTGTTTTGAGAAATTATTTACTCCTAGGTGTAAAAGGATCTCAGCAGCAGACATTATTCTGTATTATACATATACATTATACAATAGATTTAAAATTAGAACTTATTATATGTAGTTTTGTATACTGTTTTTCCCTGACTTGAGTATTTGTAAGCATTCCTCCTTACGATAAAATAATTTCCAAACATAAGACTTTTTTAAATGTGGGTTTTCTTTTTAATCTCAGATAACCTATCATTTATACAATCATTTCTCTATTTGATATGTGTACAACAATCTGTGGAAATCATGTTGTCTTAGAATTAGCTATGAGAAAGAGGCCTGCCATTCCATCAGTGAGTGGGTGCAGATACCGGGGAGCAGTTGTGTGGCCCAGACTAGTGCGGCTGCAGGCAGATCCTAGTCAGGGTCTGCCCTGAGCCCAGAAGCTCCAGCGCACCCATGCAGGCCGGGGGTCCAACCACAGATGAGCTGCAAGGGTGTGCGGGCTTCCACCTGAGGCCCGCCATACTACTGGACACAGCCAAAGACCCACCTGGAGAAGAGCTGCACAAGCAATACCCAGAGGCTTGCCTGATACCGTTGATAAGTGTGTGGACACCCTAGCCAGAGCCTGCACAGACAATAGGAACTGGGGTGCACAGCCCCCAGCCAAAGGCCCTCCCAGACAACAGCCACATAGGGGCCCCAGTGAGAGGCACACCTAGATACCATCCCAAGAGTGCACAGCCAGAAGCGCACCCAGAAAACAGGTCAGCTCAGCGATCCAGAAGGCCACCACTCTGAACCCAGGAATTGGTGCACTGGTGAGCAGCAGAGAAAAGGCAGCTCTGTGGCTTGCTGGAAATTCAAGACCACTGGGTGTGCAAAAATTCACCTCCGCACAGGCACAGCAGGCTGCATCTGGTGAAATGAGAAGACACGTGAACAAGTCTCTAAACCAGACTTCCAGATCACCTACAGCAACCCCAAAGGGAAACGAGATGGAACAATCTGATGCTCAACTACCTGGACTCCCTGAACTGGCAACAAAAGAGGATCCGGAAAAAATGAAATCAGAAATAATTTGGCAGATAACAGCAGAGATTGTGCCCATAGTACAGGACATGATTAATAAATCTAGAGCAGACACAGATAAAAAAACAGCAGAGCTGAGGAAAATGATGGAATCCCAACACAGGAAACAAACGGAATCCATAAAGCAGATGCAAACAGGTTTCCAGATTAAAAACTCCATTGAAAGTTTACGCAACAGAATGAGCCAATGTGAGGACAGAATTTCAGATATAGAAGATAAGACTGAAATTAGTGACCAGGAAAAGAAAAATTTCTTAAAAATAATAAGGGACCACGAGAAATCAATCCAGCAGCTGCTAGACAATGTAAAGAAGAATAACATCAGACTGACTGGAATCAATGAAGAAACAGGAGAAAGAGTACAGACGACACAAGAAAACTGTTCACAGAAGTGATGACAGAAAATACTCCAAATAGGGGAAAAGAACTTGATAAGTGAGACATATAGGACTCGAACTAGCTGTGATTAAAAAAAAAATCTACACATAGGCATATAACAGTTAAAGATTCCAGAAACCCAACAGAAGAACAAAATTCTACAAGCAGTTAGAGAAAAGAAACAAATCACATACAAAGGAAAGCCCATCAGAATCATAGCAGACTTCTCAACAAAAACAGGTAAGAAGAGCGGGGAGTGATGTGTTTCAAGCCCTAAAGGAAAACAACCTCCAACCCAGATTGATGGACCCTGCAAAACTATCTTTCAAAACTGAGGAAGAAATAAGATACTTTCATGACAAAGAGCACCTTAGGAATTTCATGAATATCAAACCAGAATTCCAAAATATTTAAAGAATATCCTAGGAAAAGACAACGAGGATCACAACTCCAGGAAGCCCTGCAGAATGAATCCATCAGGCATGACAAGAAATTAAACGCAAAGGGGGAGAATCCAACAAAAAGAAAAAATCATGACAAGGATAAGTCAAAACATATCAGTTATAACCATCCATGTTAATGGTCTCAATTCACCAATCAAAAGAAACAGACTGGCAGAATGGGTCAAGAAGCAAGATCCAACAATATGCTGCACACCAGAAACACACTTAATTTAAAAAGAAACTCATAGACTGAAAGTTAAAGGGTAGAAAACCATACTCCATGAGACAGGAACCCGAAAAAAAGCAGGAGTAGCTATCCTCTTTGCAGATCAAGTGGATTTCAAACCAACACTGATTAAGGGAGACAAAGAAGGACACTACATCCTTATAAAGGGAACAATCCAAGAGGAAGAGATGACAATCATTACCATATATGCACTAAACACTACTGTGCCCAACTACATAAAACAAATACTAATGGACATGAAAAATCAAATAAGCACTAATACAATAGTAGTGGGGGACCTCGATACCCCACTGTCACAAACAGATCAACTAGACAAAAAATAATCAACAAAATACTATAACTCAAACTCTTGAACAAATGAACTTAACAGATAAACATCTGTTCAGAGTGTTCCACCCCACAAAATCAGAATACACACTTTTTTCCAGGTGCACACGGGTCGTTCTCTAAAACAGACGACATACTTGCTCACAGAACATGTTTAAGTAAGTGTAAAGGAACTGAAGTTATCCCCTGTATATTATCAGACCATAGTGTGATGAAATCGGAGATCAACAGCAAAAGAAACCACAAGAATTTCATAAACACATGGAAACTGCACAACACACTTCCGAATAACCAATGGGTCACAGAGGAAATTAAAGAAGAAAGCAGACAGTTCATACAATTAAATGACAATTACAATACAACATACTGGAATCTATGGGACACAATGAAAGCAGTC